TTTTTAATAATAACCATGTTTCGTTTCTCTTGTGTATGATGCGTATATTATGTACGTGTGTATGAACGCGTGTGATTTATTATTATTATTATTATTATTATTACTATTATTTATTATCATTATTATAATTATTATTACTATTATAATTGTTATTATTTTATAAGAATTTTTTGTTGTTCTTGAGTAAGGCCACGATCCACGGAGAGAAATAAATGACAGATTTCAAATTACAATCCTTTTTTACATCGAGCATCCATTTTCTTTTTTTTTTGGTTTCTTTGCTTTATCCTTTCCTAAGTAATAAAGGATCTATTTATACTGTATATATGTATATATATGTATGCATATGTATCAACTAAACGTTGTTTATAAAAGCGGCAGTCTTTTACATGCTCTCGTTCTGTCTCTAGCTTGACAATGATAAAATCGATTATTTTTCATAAAGCTTTTGCTTCACAATTTTTCTCTATTTTTTTTTTCAATTTATTTATTTGAAATTTTATCGAATAAAACAAAAAATATGAAACGGGTTTCTTCTTCCCGTGGACCGTGGGCAAACGATCGGTCATTGACAAATGCAAAATATTCGTTAAAGTGATTTTTGTTTTTTTTTTTTTTATTTTAAGATGACCGATAGAAGAAAAATAATAAAAAGATGATAGAGAGCTTCTTCTTTTCTTTTTTTTTTTCTTTTGCGAGATTCCTTACGATTAGAAGTTTTACGTTTACATCTTAACAAATTCTTACTTTCTAAAACTTTTGGTCGGAATTAGCTGTTCGTCCTCGAACGGCCGGCCTGGCACTTCGTGGATCGTTTTTATTAACTGTAAACTTTCATGTTTTTTTCTTTTCTTACCGTTGTGTACAAAATGCGCCTTGTGAACAAATGTTAAATGATATATAGACAAAGAAATAGAAGAGAAAAAGAAATAGATAACAAATGATGAGATTACAAATGTGTAATACATGAAAGTATGTCAAATAAAAACGGAGTAGTAGTATGATGATGGTTGTTGTTTAAAATCTAAAAGGATTAACTTAAAACTCGACAAAGTAATATAAAAGTAATTAGAAAAAAAAGAGAAAGAAAATGAAAAATAAAGAGAGAAAGAGAGAGAGAGAAAAAGAGAATATGAGCAATCTTATACAACGTTTATATAATCACGGCGATATTAGAAAAAAAAAAAAACGGTGAGACCACGTAACAACACTGCATATTTGAGGTGATTGAGGGTTGAAAGGGGAGAAGAAGGAGGGGGTAGGGTAAAAATAAGCACTCTCTCGATTACGATTATTAATCATATCGCACACGAATGTCTCGTAATATCGGCGATATTTGAAAGAGAGTAACCCGCAGAACTTTGAACGTTGTTTAATAATCGTGTACTTGGAGCATCGTCAATCTCCGTACATCCTTCGATGGTCGCCGATCATTTGACCGTCCTCTGACAAGTTGGCAAATTAACCGTGAAGAATACGTTGAGCTCTATCAACGAGGCCAATATCAGGAATACCGCGTACATACACAAACAGGCTCGGCCTACTTTTCGATCTAGTTGAAACTTATTCGAGGCGAAGGCGATGTAGAGTAACATTAACGTCGATAACAATGATATGGCGCTGTACTCTAAACCACCGGAATTTATGCTGATGTAATGTTTCCCCGGTTGCGTGGGCGAAAACGAGGATTTTATTAACCATGGTAGACCCAAACATAAGAGTATGTCGAACGTGTTAGAACCGATCGAATTACTTATTCCCATAGAACCGTGTCCTGCAACACCCAAAAATAACACTAATGACAGATTATTTTATTATTTATGTTATTCAAATAAATCTAATTTATACTAGCACGATTTGTCGTAGTCCTAGTATCATAGATATGGCAATTTACCAACTTGGATCGAATACAATATATCTTTGAGAATTTTTGTCATCTAAAGTAAACTACTCGGTTCCAAGTATATTATTTTGATCTATTTGTGTTTTTTTAACCTCTTAGGCACTACGCGATACTATAGTGACTTTTGCAGATGATATCTTTTAGAATATATTATACCTAAGTGTATTATCAATTATTAAAGTAAATTGTTAAAGTTAAAGTATATACAATATATTTTAAAGAAAAATTATACTCTTTAATTGAATGTACTTGCGTAGAGAGAACGGCATTGTCTATTGAACCCTGTCGTACAGAGAAACAACTCTGCCCAAAATTTAGCAATGCCTAAGAGGTTAAATTATTCAAACGACGATTATTTACTTTCTTACTTCTTTACCTTGTTTCGCGACGATCACGCTTGATACTGCTTCCGGTACGCTGGTACCAGCCGCGAGGAACGTAATACCCATTACAGAGTCTGGTATCTTCAATGTATCGCCTGAAATAATGACGTATCTCGAATTGAATCTGTCAATTGTCAACCGTTGTCTTTAATCATTCCAAAATTAATAATCAAAACTCTCACCGATAATCGTGATCATCCACGCTACCACGTAACTCAACGAACCGATCCAAATGATACACATCAGGAACGTAACAGGGAACCAATTTTTAAATCGTGGCTTTTCGCAATCTGGTATTGTACACATGAATATCAGATGAATCGGCCATGTCATAATCCAAGCTGTCTTTCTGATCCATCCACCTCTTGCAGGCCAAACTAATAATTCGTACTCGTAATCTGAAATAATAATCAATGAAATTAATTATGGAACTCATCATATTTTGGTTTATATTTCGTTCGTCTTACTCGGTTCAGGATTTTCTTCTTGTGCTTTGGTACCACCATTTTGTAATGGTACATCTATGGTTGCTATTTGTTCGACACGATCACCAGACGATTGTAATTTATCGGGTCTGGGTAAATGAATCTCATCGGCATCTGTGATACAATATTACACACAAAAAATGACAAGTGTTATTGAAAATATTCCATTTGAACAATTTCATATTTACCGGTAGCGATGTGACAGTCCGTCGACGAGAATTGATCGCTGTTTGCACGAAATCTCGTACACCGTTGAAATGATTTATCCCAGTACATGACAGCAATGTAAACTATGTAAAGTAGAACCAGGGTAAGTGCCTCGTACCACTCGACGCGTTCGTCGTGTATGATGCATATTAAAATGGCGACTGTTACACCATAAGCTAAACAATCCCTGCTAACAGGCCACCAATCTAATGGTACAACCTGAACATATTCAAAAGAAACAATATTAACATTTGATAGAAGAACAAACGTATGAAATTGATGAAGAATTTGAATTTTAGGTCATACCATTCCTGCACCGATCCCACAACAAGCAGGAACGGCAAGAATATTGAACACCGCCGATCCGACGATGGTTCCAACTCCTATGTCACCTTCGGTAATGAAAGTACCGATCGCATTGACGAACAATTCCGGTGCGGACGTAGCAGCCGCCATGAACGTCGCACCAGCTACGTCTTTTGACATCGACAGTGCTAAGAAATGTAAATAAATAAAAGGAGAAAAGGAGAGAGAGAGAGAGAGATGCATGATTCGTAAGATGAATAATTCGAATATTTAAAACATCGTTGATTGATTCAATATTTTCATCGATACTATATCCTGTTACCTACCGTGACATATTTTTTCTACCGCAGGTACAAAGAATTTATCGCATACTACTGCTAATGCGATAAATAGATAAAGGGACACTATTACGTGCACAACGACGGCACCGCCTTGCCTCTGTGCCTCGTCAAACAGATCATGTGGAAAATCTTCTATCGCAGGTGGTGTGCAATTTATACCTGCAACAAACAACACAACGTGTCTTTTTTTTCTCTCTTTCTCTCTCTCTCTCTCTCTCTTGGATTTAACAACTGAGCCGTGATAGATAAACCTGTCCTGTCTATTCCTCCTTCTCTTTCCTTTATCTTATACCTTCACGTGTATATAATTAAATAATGATTATCTAAAAAAAAAAAAATAAAATAACAAAAGGGAAGTAATTAGTAAAGTATTACAATATTGTTAACTAAATTTTTCATTGGAGATTCGATAATCGTTAATCTCGAGTACATGCGAAACAATGCACGTGCATTTATTTCAAGTTGAATTCTCAGCGAATTCGATGCATATATATATATATATATATATATATATATATATGTGTGGTAAAGTACCTAATACCCAAGTTAGATAATTCGAGTAGGGTTGTTGGAATATCTGAGGAAATCGTATTAACGAGTAAGGAGATGATCATCGATTGGACCTATAAAAGTTAAGAGTAAACCAAGTTTCGAGTGTTATTAGGTCGTCGGACAGGAACAGTGAGCCAGGCAGCAGCACGAGCCGTTTAAATCGTATTGTAGCCTACTTGTAATTATTATCATCATCACCATCATCATCATGATGATCATCATGATCATCATCATCACCGTTGTCGTCGTCGTCGTCTGTACGGTAACGGAAAACGAACGGATGTTCCACACCCTCCATACTTGCTACTGCCGTAAAATACACGTTGTACTTTAAATTACGTAACAGCCACGGGAAACGCGTCAGAGATCTCTAACGTGAAAGAACAACTGAAAAAAAAACGCTGTTGTGTGTGTACATGTGTGTGTTAGTATCGGGATTGTATTCGTGATTATTACTATTTTCAAATAATAGATAAATAGTAAGAGAATGAATAATAATGATAATTTATCACGCGTGCCTTGATCATCTTTCATCTGAAGATGACAACGTGCTAGAATTTCGATTGTTTTTAAGAATGAAAATGAAATATTGTTTCGTAAACGTGTAAATAGTAACAGAAGGATTATAATTGAATTGGTAAAAGGTATTATGACGATGACGGGTGTGCAAACATAGTTTAAAGTAACGGTGGCATCAAGTTGTGCATCGTGTAGCGTTAAGACGGTGATACGCCAAGTAGGAAACGTCTCGTTAAGGTCAGTCATTAGTTCAATTTTACGAAAGCTGCGTGTCGTGGAATTATTTGGCAAACAACTACGTGAGAAAAGTCAATTTGACAGTTTATCTGTCATTTTAGATTGTGTTTAAACAATAAGAGTTAACGGGAAGATTATTTCATGAGAGGACGACAAAGACGACGACGACGACGACGATACATTTATTCGCACGTATCCATAGAAATGTTGAAACTACGAAACATCTTGCCCAACACCACCACCACCAAGCCCAGTAATAATAGTAATTTTAATTCGTAATGATGAATAATGATATATAGAACAATAGAGTTTTAATTTGTTTCATTTTAATCTACTTCTACTACTTCTAGGTTTACTTTTTTTTTTCCTTGTTTTTTTTTTCTTTTGCAGTACATTTTTTCTCTTACGTTAGAGAAGAAAGAGAAAGAGAGATCATTATAAATAAATAAAGAGAGTACAAAAGATGGGTATATCACTGCGGACGGGACACGTGCATACGGGAGTTCGTTCGCATGCGCGCGCACAACGTAGCGCAAATGGGACACAAAAAATGTTGAAGCGCGCGCTTGTTCGCTCACTCGCTCACTCACGGTTTCTCTTCGGGCTATTTTAATTTGCAGGGGTCAATTGGCCGGCCGGTTGGTCGATTGGTGTCTGTGCGAATTTATACCAATGGATTATAAGATCTTTATGTTGTCTTGTAAATCCGTTTCAACCCATCCACCCCCACTCCCCTCCCCTCCCCGTCCCCAAATTCGTTCCCCCATCTCACACATGTCGCGTCTATAATTAAATTAAAAATTAAACAATAAATTATAATAATCTTTAATAAAACACACAGTCACACACACCTGCGTGTACGAAGGGGGAAGGGGAAAGATTCGTTAATTCTACGAGTACGCGTTCAATCTGATGGATAATTCGCAGGGGTGAGGAGGAGGTTTGCTAGGATTTATTATTTTTTTCTTTTCCAAACGAGTCGATAAAATGTTCATGTTCATCCCTAAAACACGACCTGGTTGATTTTTTATTTTATTTTTTTTTCTCTTTCTAACCTTTGATTAAGTTTTCAAACTAGAAATAGAAATGTATAGAATTTTTATTAAGTATTCTGGATTAGTACAACCTTAGGATTTCTCAACTTGGTACATTGTGAAGACCATCAATCAATTATAAGAACATACGAGGAATAAGAAAGAGAGAGAGAGAGAAAGAAGAGTGTAGAAAAACATAGAATCACATAAAAAAGAAAATGATGTTTATACATCATTTTCAAGATACTTTAAATACCACTGCCCTATCATTTATAAAAATTTATTTTGATAAGAGAATAAGATCTTTCTTTTCTTTAATTTAAAAGTATATTATTATTATTATTTTCCTGTGTTTTATATATTTTTGTGTTTCTTTTCTCATAATACCCAGATAAAACATGCTCTCATTGTAAAGCTTATTTGGAAAAATAAAACTAAAAGCCCTTTCTTTCTCTCTCTCTCTCTCTCTCTCTCTGTATTTTTAAGTACGGTAATCTAGGTATTTCTTTTCCAGCATATTATTATTATTATTATTATTTCTGTCGTTTTATGCTATATACTTTACGATACTTTTATGTTACTTTAATACCACGCGTATCTCGTTAAAAAGAAAAACAAAATAAAAATCATCTCAACGAATCTCTTGAACAAAGTCGAAGTTTTTTGGGTTACAGAAAAAAAAAAGAAAAAAAGAAAAGAAAAGAAAAGAAAATGTGTGTGTCATTTCTTCAAACCTAGCAGCAGGACAAGCTTTTTACTCCCCAGCCGTAAGGCTAACACACAAGAGTGGTGTGTAGAATGTTGTGGGTGTATTGGTGACTCGTACCGGTTATACAGCTATGTGGTTGATGTGACTTCCTACCGATTAAGCAACCTAAAGAAGTTAAATTGCTCTCATTCAACTGGCCAGAGTAGATGCCATTCATGCCTAATGTACGTCGTATAAACTAGATATAACGCGGCTGGACAACTCGGCCGGTCTCGAGAAGGGTCGATCGCTGACCGAAGACCGGAATCATTTCTTTCTTTTCTTTCTATCTCAAATAGAAAAGAAAAAAAGAAAAAGAAGGAAAAGAAGATTATAAGATGAAGACGAAGAAGAAGTAGAAGAAGATTATAAAGAATATGAAGGAGTAAGAGTAGGAGTAGGAGAAGGGGGTGGGTGGGTGAATGAGGGGAAAGAATAAAGCGAAGCAACGATATGTACAATACAATAGTTTGAAGAAACGAGGGGTCAGAAAAGATCGAGGAATGAAAACCTTTGCCCCCTACCTCCTCCTCCTCCTTCTCCTTCTCCTCCACCTACCCCCTTGTCCCCCTCCCATCGGTTAAACTCTAATTGATTTTTATCTAGCTTAGGTAATTATTAAGAGTACTTAATTCGCGCTTAAGGCCACGTAAGTGGGGCCCCTTAGAGAACGATCACCGGGTTAATACGCTAATGACACCACCACCCCCCCGCCAACGTTGTCGTCTTCGTCTTCGTAGTTGTCGTTGTCGTATTTTCTTTTTATCGATGCCGCCCATCGTTTCGATATATTTCAACCTGTACTACTACCACCACCACCATCATCAAATGATATTATTACTAATGTAAGTGTTGTATTTTTTTTTGTAGAGTCACCAACAAACTTTCTCGTCATCGTTGCCGAACTATTAGGGTGAATCAAATGTTAGTAAGGTGTTTTTTTTTTTTTTTTTAATTAATATTTATGAAATAAATAAAATATTCATTATGCAGTTTCAAAGTAAAGTTACGATACGATAAACGAATGGAATTTTTGGTTCAACCTAATATCCATCGATACTATTATTTTTTCTAACAGTTTGGTATCCCATGTTTCTTTCTCTTTTTTTTTTTTAATTAAAGATTTATTTTCACGGCCATGAAATAACGAAATGATAACACAAGTTTAATAACTTGTTAATTTGTTATTTCTATAAAATAGTATATCAATGTTATATGTTATTATAATAGATCGTAAAAGAGAACTTTCTTTTTAGAATTTTGAAGATCGATACATAAAAGTGTCGATAAAATGTATAACGATGATCATAGTAGTTCGCAAAAAAAAAGGGGGAAAAAAAAAAGATAAAAACCCTCTCTAGAGGCGGTAAATCTGATATACTTAAACCCTCGTTAAGTTATACCACCGAGAAATAGATTTGCGTTACGGATTCAAGTTACACTTTTGCGCTTTTCCCAACCAGAGGTATCTCGAGATTCTTGTCTCGTTTATAAAAGCTTTTCCCGTTTCCTCTATTTCTGTCTTCATTTATTTCTCTTACTCTTTCTCTCTTTCTCTTTTGATTTCACTCTTCTTTCTTTGACTGATAAATAATCATTAGTAGAGAAAAATTTGTGCAAATTTTATGACAAATTAATTGGATTATCGATTTGATCAAAAAATAGGTTGAATTCTTTCTATTTTTCTATTTGAAAAAATTGATTTTAGTAGAAATATAAAACTTCAATAACATGGAATGACAAAAAGTTAGATGATAAAATGTTCCTCAAAGGGGAAACAATCTCAAATCAAATGAAAACTACTCTTTGATCTCTTTGGTCATTTTACGTTTGCCAAAAAAACCATCACTTGAAATCTTTTTTCCGAACAATATCGATTTATCTTTTTCCATTATAGTAGATCATCAACTTTATGATTCCTCAATCTCACGAAAGGTAAATTTCATTTTTCAAACAAAAGGAACTTATTTTACTCTAAAATCCTCCTCCCCCACGTAAATAGAGGAACCACGCTAGAAGTTTACTTAAAATTGAGAAATTGTAAAACGAATTGAGATAAGTTTCATGAAAATTCGAATGAACGATTACGAATGAAAATCTTTCAATGTACTTCTTCTAAATTTGAATCATAGTAATTGAGATTAAAAGGTGTAAGTATTCTCTTGAATTATAACGTGAAAATGGAACATTTCAAAAGATCTCTCTCTTTCTCTCTCTCTCTCTGTCTTTCTCTTTCCTTTTAAATGAAAACTCTTTTCTTTTCAATGAAAACAAAAGAAAAAATTGTTTTGTAAAAGTTGAGATCAAATGAATTTTATACACACATGTTTTAATAAGAACAAATCAAATTAATTAAACGTATCGTGTGTATTTAAATTTTGAAGAGGAAAATTGAGAGTGAAAGAAAAAATAAAATAGTTAAATGAGAAAGAGAGAGGGAGAGAGAGAGAGAGAAAGAGAATGAAGAAGGGTGAATAATCGATCTTACCGTTAGACCAGGAATGAGTTATCCTCGTAAAATTCGACATGATTTCCAACAAAGCATATTCTTCCTATCGGTTAGACGATTTTACGAATAGAAAAACTCTAACATAAATGATTCCAAAAATATCAAATCACCGATTATATAATAATAATATTAATATTATAACTATTATTACTATTATTATAATAATAATACTATATTAAAACGATGATGACAATTATTATTAACGAACTATATGTAATAATAATAATAATAATAATAATAATAATAATAATAATAATAATAATAACTTTGTTATTTTATTTATTAATTCCGTATTTATCGTTAAATACTTGTTGTTATCACTAAGAAGGATCCTCTCGCGATCGCGTTAGCGACATTTTTCGATCGTTTTTCAATGACGCGAATGATTCTCATACTCGTATTGAGTAATACTTTCGCGAAAAATATCAACAAAAAATTGAAAATAAAAAAAAAACTAATAATCTTCTTTAGTTAGTTAGGATGTTGCGTACTATCGAACTTAAACCGTATATATGAACGCACGAACGATTTAACGACGTTAAATACCGCGATTTCTGGCGTTGCTGTCGTCGTCGTTGTCTTCAACGTCAACGTCGTCAACGTCGTCAACGTCGTCAACGTCGTCAACGTAGTAGTTGTATTGCAACCCGTTTTCTCTTTCTATAATATATCTCTTTTCGAGTACTATACTATCTTGTCCACATCTCTGGACCGAACCGAGAAACGTCACAAACGGAAATGTCTGGATTACAACGCGCTATCGTATTAAATGATGTTTTGCATTAACGTTGCCGTGATTCGAACGTCGACTTCTTCTTTCTCTCTCTCTTTCTCTCTCTATTCCTCACTTCTATATTCTCTCATTTCATTTGCACGCTTTATTTCATCCCCCCACCCCATTTCTCTCTCTCTCTCTCTCTCTCTCTCTTTCTATTTCTCTTTCATTTAAAGAAGAAGATACAAATTTTTCTTCATTAATTCAATCTTTCCTACTTTTTTTTTCTCTTTTGTTGAAAATGTATAATACCCCAATTTGTCATACAAGTGAAGAGAATGAATTTTATTCGTGAATAAAACAACCAGCACCACTATCAGGCACCACCACCATCACCACCATCCCTACCAATGGTAGTCGAATTTTGGAAAAGTAATATTTCGCAACCAACCTCCTCCTAGGTCAGACGTATCCATGTTGTCAATCCCGTTGTCACACACATACTACATTAACAACTACTCCGAAGTCCGACATCGTTTGTTGGAATCGCCCCTCCCTCTACTCTTCTCTCTCTCTCTCTCTTTTTCTCTCTCTATATATTTTTCTGTCTCTCTTTGCTTCTGGCTCATGCTCTTCGTCCGAGTCCGCTGAAAATCGTGGCTCTCGATGGTTTTACATATACATATACATATATTGTAGGTACATATACGTGTATATGTACGTTTCGAAACAATTTTTTTTTTCCGCTTGAAAAAGCATCGCCCCGCGAAACGTCGAGTTCGCGAACCTGCCGAGATGTAGGTGTGCCAGGTACGCTAAATATAAATATATTTCGATAACGAATAATCGACTTTTTTGTTTGTATTTTTATTTTTATTCTTATTATGTCTTCATTTATATTACTTTTTTTTTGTGTGTACCTTTTTTCGAAGAAACACGTTTTGAATATTCAATTTTATACATGGATTATTTTATTATCAACCCCTTATTCTTCGATTGTATTCAAATATCGAGTAAATTTATTTATCTAGATTTTAATTATTCAATAAAAGAGAGAACATTTTAATTAATAAAATTATATCTGTCATTAATTATTTGTTCAATCAATGAATTATTTATTATTATTATTATTATGCATTATAATTTGAAATTATTCATCATTGGTTCGGATTCGTTATGTTTGATCTTTAATAGTTTTAATAGTAATTTCATAAATGTATTACAACAACAAAATTAGAAAAATAACGTAACGTGCATGATGACCGTAAGAAAATAATATGATTGTTCCTTTTCTATACTGTGATTGATATTATTTTTAGTCAACTAATTTTCTCGCCATTAGCCGATATTTTTCTATTAACAATAACCAAGTAATATAAGTGCTTTCTGCGGAATAACAATAAATCTAAAATGAAGTAATGGCTGGGTAATTTTAATAATTATATAATCTACAAGTTATTCTATGGGTTGACAGTTATTTTTACAAACAAACTAAAGGTAACAAAAATGATTAAACTCGTATATTTTTAACTAACTTTCTCATTATTTTTAAAATTGATAGATTTTATACCGCATAACTTGATTCGTTATTTTTTTTTTTTTCATGCCAGTAACAAAATATATTGTATGTGGGCTTCTGAAAAACAAATAAATGAATTATTGGATACCATAATATATACTCAATTTTTAAATTACCCAATTTTTAATTAGGTATATTAATAGGTTAGGTTAATTGGGTACCAGTAAACTCATATATTGCATATTGTGGGTTCTGAAAGAAATATAATATAGTTTATTTAATTATTAACACATTGAGCGCCACACGAATTCTTAGGGAAATTCCCGTCAGGCCACAGCCTATACTTTTTATTGAAAAAATAGTTGGATGTGACGGACGCGGCCTGAACATAAGTCTAGTGTCAGTCACCGATGGCTGACATGGCGCTCAACTTATTAAGTCGCGAGCGGTATTTACAAATGTTTACAAAAAATGACATGAATGCAAAAATACAGAGTATAGAAGAGTTACAAATATAAGATCGACTGACTGACTGACTGATAAACTGACTGATTAGCAGAATGACTGATATTAGACAGACAGATATAACAGACTGATTGTATAACTAGTGGACACTTTCTTACTTTTTTGCACAAATTTATATCCAAGATGAGCTACACCCTTTTGGAGAGGGAAGGAAATTATGAATCTTATTGACCAATAGTAGAAGGATCCATCCCCAATAGTCTACCGATGGGTACAACTTATTTTTTTGGTAAAGATCGTAGTGGAAGTTATGCATAAAGGAACTTTGTCTAAAATAATGGAATATCATTTCTTCTTATGGTGTGTTGCATGTGTTTAAATAGGAATCTGAAATCACGCAAAGGGCCCGACACTGTACAAAGGTTTTCGTCGCACCAATATGTCTCGATAATTCTTGAGTTTGTTTGAGATTTTATTGTCCAGCAAAATATTTTTCTTAAACTTTGAATGAAGTTTTTTCTTTCACTAAAATCGACAGCGTATTCAAAATAAAATATAAAGGAAAGAACAAAATACTAGTCTTATTGTCTACATGTAAAAATAATTATTACTCATATTTATGTGTAAATAAAATGCATGTGTATGATAAAATGCAATAAAATAAAAGATATCAAATAAAACGTATGATTATTCTAATAAGTTAAATCGCTTTTTTGAAACTTAATTACGAATTCAAACTAATTTTGTTAATCTAATATAAATGTAATTATTGTCTTAATATTTTGAATGACTTAACAATCGATTCGTAGAACAGATCGGCGCAAATTTCTCGTATTCGCCAATCGATAGTACACGCTGCTGCTGCTTCTTCTTCTCGAGTATCTCGAAGATTCGGTATAAATGAGTCACGTGTATGTAGTTTTATCGACGATAATTAATCGTCCTTAATCACAACTCGTCAAATGAATGACGAAAATTGCCGTCGACGTTTATTACGTTCGAAAAAGATCGTTAGACGAAATTCACGTGCGAGAAACGAGCTAATCGATAAACTCGAACATTTGGATTACGATCATCCCTGTTCATTTACTTACATAATAAATTGTTACGTATGTTAATTTATTATTATTCATATTATCAAATAATATATTTAATTAGTATAAGTTAAAAATGTATTTTTTAATTCGTCTAGAAAAAAAAAAAATTATAAATTTCAATAAAAATTAATACTTTAATAGCCACACGTCTACGCAGTCAAACGTCGCTTGAGGCCCGGTAATATTTTTGAAAAATTCATTTTAAAAAACTGTAATTAAATTCACGAAAAAATTAACATAAAAAAAAAAAACAACAACAAATTTAATTTTATATAATTTTAAATATATAAAAAGTTATAAATAAATAACTGCCAATAACGGTTGTTCCAGCTATCACACATATGTTGTGTGAGCGGCTATTAAAGTGTTCAAATTCAATACGTTCACAAAAGTACATTGTACTTTGAAACAATCAACTTTTGTATTTTTTTTTTTTTTTTTTTTTTTTTGATTGATTTAAAATCAAAACACTCATTGGAAATCACGTACTTTATCATACTTTTAAGGCACTGTTGACAACTCAATAAATATCTCAATTAGTCGAGTAGAATATTTTGTAAAACCTTTAAAACGTGGATATATATAATAACACGATTGGAATAATACTGGATAAGTGAAACATGACAGGTTTATTCAGTTATGTACATAAATGTAAATAAAACGAGGGACTAGAACAAAATTTTCCTTCGATGATTTCGAAGGGAAAAGATTGTTTTCTTTGGTATCTTATCTATCGAATATGAACACGTAAGAATAACGGTCATGTTTCGATATCGATATTGATACCGATATCAGTATTGATTTGAACGTCTTCTGAGATTGATCAAATTGCAAAAATCATCATATTTTACTCATTATCGTGATTAAAATAGAAAAAAAGAGAGAAAAGTATTTGTTTTTTTTTTTTATTAGTTACTAACAATTTATTATTTTATTCCCTTGGTTAAATTTTCGTTCAAGTTTTATACGACGAACCAAAATACTTTTATTTCATTTACTTAATTTAACTTTTAATTACGATAATTATGGCGCGACGACACAGACATATGATTGCTTATAGAATATTATTCGTCATAGTAATACCTGCTATGTATTTTCTTTGCGTAAGTATCGCTGGATATAATTCCAAGGATCCAACATCATTGACCGGTTATAACAAAATTCGTAAGTATGACATAACATTAATGAAAACATACAAAATCATCATTTTCAATCATATACCTCATTATATAATACATTTAAGATAAATTTATATAACCCTTTGACAAGACTAGAATTTCATTCAATTTCAAACTATTTAGATTATTAATGCAAAATTACGAATATGTGCGTTTTCACAACAAACATTTTATTTTATCTTGATTATTTTTGTCTCATTAATAAAATTTCTACAGAAGATACTTAAAACATTTTTTTTACTAATTTGAGTCATACATACCGTCATACGTCAAACGAATTTTTAATGAGAATAATCAGATTTGATAAAAGTATATATACATTTTATAAAATAATAATATAATATAATAGTAATAAATTAATTTAAAAAAAAAATATACATATATATTTTCTCGTTAAAAAAAAAAAAGAAGAAAATATATAATTGGCTGAACATAAACGAATTATATATAATGATATGAAATATAAATATTATCGATGATATTATATTTGTTATAATTTGGTTTCTATTTTATTGAATTTAAATATAAAATACGTCGTACGTAGAAAGTCGTACGAGATTCCAAGCATTATCGAATAAAAAGATCTCTCAAGAGTTCGTCGCGTGAGAGGACGACGTTACGTTACGACGATTATTTTGTCTTATAATCTGCCAACTCGACGAGGAATTACCCGGTACGGTTTAATTCGATCGAATTAGAGACAACCTCCTCTTGCTCTTCTCAAGATTCTACTACCTCGCGTACGACTTCCTTTCTCTCTCTTTCTTCTCAGAACAAATGAGATTAAAAAATACAAAAAATATCAAACATAAAAGAAAACACAATTTTCTAAGCGAGTTAAATTATCGTAAAAGGGACGAACACCCGTTAGATATTCGTAGAAATTCTTTTACATTACTAAATTATATTATATTCATATTCTTATACATAATAATATAATTATCATAATAACTATATAATAATTATAACTTATTAATATTATAATTATTATATATAATATATAATAATTATATTATTATATAGAAAGTAGTTTCTTGTTTAATTTTGTTTCAATCTGCTTTTGTTATTTTCAATTAAATTTATTCTATTTTTTTATTTTATTGATTGGAAGATCCACGAAGACTCTTGCAAACGGTTGGAAACGTACAACAGGAAATAATAGAAGAAAATTGTACAGCACCGGCCATTGACGAATTCCCATCAGATGGATTTACTCGAGTAGAACGACAATCGGGTTTCATAGCAATTCATTTCGCCATAGCTATTTATCTCTTTTTACTTCTTGCTATCGTCTGCGATGATTTCTTCGTACCATCGATAAAGAAAATATGTGAGAGTAAGTAAAAAAAAAACAGTTGTTGTTTTTGTAATCATTTAGGATAAGAAGAATGATTGTTTAAATTGATTAAAATCTCATTTTCATTAGAGATGAAATTGAGCGAGGACGTAGCCGGTGCAACTATTATGGCAGCAGCTAGCTCAAGTCCAGAATTATTCATCAATGTTGTTGGAACTTTCATAACTGAAGGGGATTTAGGTGTAGGCACGATTGTTGGTTCCGCTGTGTTCAATATACTTGCAGTACCAGCTTGTTGTGGATTATTTGCTAAACAGGTTCAACTTTATTATTTAATCGATGAAAATTACATTTAACAAAACAAAACAAAAAGAAAAAGTAAACCATTCTTCAAGTTGTTTTATTTTTAGGCATTACAACTAGAATGGTGGCCCATAACACGCGACACATTGGCATATGCTTTCACTGTACTTTTATTGATCATAACACTTCGAAACGGTCGTGTCGAGTGGTACGAAGGCTTGATTCTCATTTTATTTTATATCCTTTACATTTCGGGTAAGTTGAAAAACGTGATATAGAAGAAAACACGCGAAACCTCAGCCTCTTCTCAAAGATTTCTCCTTTTTTCTTCCCTTATAATCAAATTTCGATTGAAATTCTATGTTTCCATTTCAGCCATGTGTTTCGACGGAAGAATCGGTGGATATCTAAAACGTGTCACGTCAAGGAGGAAACCGTATAAAAACATTTCCGAAAATAGTCCACTACTTCCTTCTAACAGTATGATTCAAAATTTAAATACGATTTTAAACAAATATATACATGAAATTTTAATGTATCCCTTTCCCATCATTTGCGTTTGTTCTTACAGTACATACGAAAAACGTCGACATCGAGAGTTTCGGTACGAGCGAAGAGGAAGAAGCACGTAAGTGTTTGTATTAAAAAATAAAAAAAAAAACTATTTCCTAATTCTTTTCTTTTTTATCAACATACAAATCATACGAGTAAGAAAATTCATTTGATATTAATATTTACAGTTGAAATCGTAAGTATGACAAGTTGGCCGAGCTCGAATGGCGAAAAAATATGGTGGCTATTAACATGGCCCATCAATCTGGTACTGCTCGTTACCATTCCAGATTGCAGGAGACCCAAATTAAGATCATGGTATCCTCTTACATTCATAATGTGCATTTTATGGATCGCTAGTACGTCTTACGTGGTGGGATGGGTGATTACGATTATTGGTAGGTATTATTTCATTATTTTTCATCTCAATAAGACCTCTCTCTCTCTCTCATTGAAATGGTTCAGATCAAAAAGATTTATTAATAAAAATTCAAATACATATAATTATGTAATAACTCATAGGTGATACATTCAACATTCCTGACTCGATAATGGGATTGACTTTCCTCGCCGCTGGAATGAGCGTGCCCGAAGCTGTGTCTAGCGTTATTGTAACAAATCAAGGTAATTAACTAACGTTTTAAGATAATTCAAAGTTTATAATATATATATATTAACACGATACGAATATAATCCAATAATTATAAAATATGTTTATTATTTTTAAAGGTCTCGGATCAATGGGAATAAGTAATTCAATAGGTTCAAACGTATTCGACGTGTTACTTTGCTTAGGATTACCATGGTTTGTGAAGAGTGCCATAATGCCAACTATTCCAGGAGAACATAGCGTTAAAATTAATTCACAAGGTCTCGTTTATAGTTCTGTATCTTTGTTCTCAACATTATTCGTCTTATACGTCTCACTCGCGTGTAATAAATTTAAATTAAATCGTGGTATAGGTATAACATGTCTTATAACATATGCCATATTTTTAGTATTCGCATCGGTCATAGAACTTAATATCTTTTTCGTCGTCAATTTACCTATATGCAAACACTGACGATAACTATCGTGTGCGCGCGAGTTTCTTTCTATCTTTCTTTTTGTTTTATTTCTATCTCTCTTTACGCGTGCACGCTTCTTATGCAAAGGCAAAGTAATTTAAAGTACATATGTATGTATTAAATACAAACGATTCGATGGTGCTAGTCAATTATTTGTAACATGTCCATTTAGTACATTACGATTCGTTATTTTTAAATTAACATGAATCTGAATGTATTTTTTATTAAGTAATTCCTTTTATTTTTTAATCAAACGTATACTTGTTAGTAATTTTCACACTAACAATAAGTACTTAAAGAAGAGTGTATATATATACATATATATATATACACATGAAAGTGTAAATATATGATATATATATATATGGTATTTTATTTACCTTTTACATAATAAAGAACATTAAAGAAAGATATTAAATTTGAAAAGGAAGTGCTCATTCATCACACATAGTTCGGTGTTAATATTCTTATTGGATTGTCAAACGGTGACAATGATTCTCAAAAGAGAATACAATTAAATGTAGATCTGGTATAAATGATGGTCAAACAGTTTAAGTGGTAAAACAGTTGAAAATTATTATTTAATATTTATTGGAACGTTTTTATTAAAAAGTTAAAGGAAGTTATTTAAAGTTGTCCACAGTCAGCAATGACTATCTTTTGACGAGTCTGACCGGTCTGACTACCAAAACTTTCGACCTTCTTGATTACATCCATACCTTCGATAACAGATCCGAAGACTACATGCTTATTGTCTAACCAAGTAGTTCTAGCAGTTGTTATGAAGAATTGTGATCCATTGCTGTTCGGTCCAGAATTAGCCATGGAAAGTAATCCAGAATCAAGATGTTTAAGTTGAAAATTTTCATCCTCAAATTTTTCACCATAAATTGATCTACCACCAGTGCCATCATGATTCGTAAAATCTCCTCCTTGGCACATGAAGTTAGGTATTACACGATGGAATGTACTACCTTTATATCCAAAACCTTTTTCTCCAGTACAAAGAGCACGGAAATTTTCAGCTGTTTTTGGTACAACATCTGTACGTAATTCCATAACTACACGACCAATAGGCTTTTTATCTGCAGTTAGGTCGAAATATACCTTCGGTAAACCCATTTTTCTAGTTTTTATCAGAAAAACTATTAACAGAGTACCTATAAAGTATACAACATTGGTTAATATATTAATGATGATATTACATTAAAGTTCTTAAGAATAATTCAATTATATACTGTGTAATATTTCAATCAAATATGATAAATTAATCGTAAATACGAGATAAAAATGGATCTTATTTTATTAATGAAATATATAACGATGATAATGACTTACTAATTTCTAGAACTTACCTTGTCGTCAAATGTAGCAGCGGATATGTAACGGCTATTCCTTTCTTATGGCACAGTTTTTTTATTGATTTAAGAGGGCGCTCGTGACGCGGTGTCCGGTCTGAAGTTGACGTCGAAAACTCTTCTCTACATATTTCAAGGTTGGCAGCATGGAAAAACTAAAAATACTGACAAGTGATTTTGTAATTTATCCACTGTTATTCCACCAGTTCATCACGCGTAAACGCACACATATAAATAAGTGTATATGACAGCCTGTTGAAAAATAATAAAAATAAAAAAAAAATATAAAACGATATTGTGAACTGACTCCTACTCCACATAGAAAGCTGTTTTGACGTTTCCATTTTATTTTGTGTACGTTGGATAAATCGATAATAAATAATTAATTGTTTTGTGTTCTTTTAACAAACGTCAGGTCATGAGAAGTATATAATTACAATTGTTACTGATAATAAAATAAAGCAAAGTGCATAATCATTTAACGTATAAAAACATATTAGTTTAAAATATCAAGGTAATATTTTATATTTATTGTTACTTCTTTTATCTGCGCGTTTAATAATTTATAAAATATTATTAAATTTAGCGTTTCATTTCTTATTTGTATCTTAAATTCAATAGTAATTATTAACCTTATAATGATCTTAAAACTGGTTAGTCAGAAAGGTGTTAGAATGTAAATTTTTATCTACGATATAATCGGTATCTCTTTGTTTACGACATGAGTAATTCAATACTATGAATCATCTTAATAATTTGCTAAGTATTTTATCATTTATTATAATAGAATACACGATTCTTAGTTTGTCTTGTAATATTATGTTAGGATTGTGAAAGTAAATAAATTATTAATTTGTTATATTTTTTTCCAGATACCAAAATGCCTATTTTATACAGTCTTGTGTCTAGAGGAGTCACCGTGTTCGCTTATCATGCCACTTGTGCCGGTAATTTTGAAGAAGTTACAGAAAAAATATTGGCACAAATACCTCCCAAAAATAATAAGATGACTTATTCTCAAGGAATTTATCTTTTTCATTATATTTGCGAGGATTCTCTTATTTACATGTGTATAACTGACGATGTAAGTAAAGTATTACACTTGAATAATACATCTGTTTTTTAATAAAACTTATAAGATTGTAATCATGCTTTCTTTTTCATTTATATTTCAGAATTTTCAAAGATCCAGAGCATTCCTGTTTCTTAACGAGATAAAACGTAGATTTTTAACTGTTTATGGAGAGGGAGCTCAAACTGCCATGGCTTATGCCATGAATACAGAATTTAGTAGAGTTTTAGCTAACGAAATGGTAACATTTACAGATTTTTCTAATTTAAGTACATTTATAATTATAATTACAATAATGTATTTGATTTTGTAGAAACATTATAGCGAATCCAGGGACATTGATACTATTTCCAAAGTTCATGGAGAGCTTGACGAATTAAAAGATATTATGGTTAAGAATATAGACCATTTAGCAACGCGTGGAGAAAGATTAGAACTTTTAATTAATAAGACTGAAAATTTAACTGCGAGTGTAAGTAATGTTTCAATAATATTATTTAATTGAATTAAATTTGTAAACTAATGAAAGAATATTTTCAGTCGGTTACATTCAGAAAGACAAGTAGGAACTTGGCACGTTCACTGTTTTGGAAAAATGTTAAGATTTATGTCATTATAGGAGTGGTTTTAATAGTAAGTTATTATGCATTCCTTTCTTGTTTACCAAGTGGAAAAGAAACAAATCATAAATGTTTTTTAAATATTTTGTATTACAGATAGTAGTTTATGTCGTGGTGTCAATAGCGTGTGGAGGATTGGGTTGGCAAAAGTGTGTTGGAAATTAGATGCCTGAATAATGATCTGAAAAAGTTGTGCCTAGAATACGTTACTTCATATGAAATAAAGAAAATTTGGGATGATTAAGAACGATGTCAAATATGGAAGGCCTTTGTTAGGACGAAAATGAACTGCATCGTCTTTTAAATCATACTAAATATTATATATATAAATACACATATACATATATTCTATATTTATTTGTTATATTTTAAGGACACAAACATTTCTTACTATAAATATTTAGGTATTATGAAATACTCGCATAAATTACATGTAACTTAGCATAGTTTATTGATTAATTAATATATATTATATCGATTATTTGTATATCGTCAGTCAGAGATATTATATTCTTAAATCTTAAAGAAAATGTGAAACTAAATATCGATCTTGTTTTTACTTGCATCTTTTATCATATTAATTATTATTATTCAAATTATATATTATTAATTATTATTATCATCGAATTATATTAGAGTAATAGAAAAGATTGCGTTACGAAAAGATATCAATAAAATTGTTATAATAATCGTTGAAGAAAAGTCGATAAAGAAAACGAAAGAAAGGAGTTCGGCAAAAAATTCTAATCAATCATGCATTCTCTTTCTACTCTAATCATATATATATATATATATATTATACTCACGTAAATGCAACAAGTGCAAAAAACGTGAAGAACAAAAAAATTCGTATCATATAAAGACGATAAGAAAGATTTCTTTAAATTTTCACATAAGAGGAGACTGCTAGTCTCATCAATTTTTATCTGGCATGATTTTCTATAGAATTACGATGGTAATTTATCGGTCGTTCGTTCGGCTTTTTCCACGCCATTAGTCGTATTAAGTTTCCGCGCGAAGGGATGCTTTTCGTGAGCACCATCCCCCTTGTGTTTCCTAAAAAATGACTTATCTGCGCATGCTCTTTCGTTTATTCATTTCTTTTCACATATCATCCTCCACATGCATATTCATAAATATATATATGTATATAAAATCGAAAATATTAGGATGAATCAAAAGTTCATGCATTAATTGTGTTACAAACTGCATAATGTATTGTTTTTATAAAATTTACTTTGCAAATATTAATAAAAAAAAAAAAAACGTACGAGCTTTAGGTGTTTGCCCTAATATAAAAAACCATAAAAAAGAAAAAACTAAAGGTACCATTAAAATAAAACCAAAAAAAAGTAAAAGATAAGCAAGTGATATAAAAAAAAGGAAAAAAAGTGGGGTTCATATATACGGTCCTGGAACAGGAGAAGGAGAGAGAAAGAGAGAGAGAAAGATAGATAGAGATAGGTGTAGTAGAGAATGGTGGGGGATGTAATCGTCGAATCAGCGGGTGGCGGCATGCCGGGCGCTGTCGTCGGGACGCCGGACGGACGCCCGGGCCATCGGTAGCGACGGCGGCAGCAGGAGCTCGCTCGTCGTCGGCTTTCGGTCGGCTTTCGGTCGGCTTTCGCGGAGGATGTCGATGGGTCGCGTGGCGCGCCCTTCGGGGGGTTGCTGCCTGCCAAATAAGTGTCGTCGTCTCCCGCGATACGACTTTACGCGTCTACCGAAAACGCCGATTTTATTTTAATAGTTCTTATCGTCTCGTCGATTAGTATTTTTTTTTATTATTTTTTAAACAATCCTACGAGAGAGTTAGTCGTTTTTTACGAGTCTTTTTTCTCATAAGATAAGGCACGGTGAATGCGGAAATACAAAACAGAGAGGGAAAGAGAAATAGAGAGGGAGAGGGTGATAAAAAGGGAAAGTGAGAGGTAGAAAAATGTATTGAGATTAAATAAAAATATGATAAAGAGAGGGAGAGAGAGGGATAACAAATAAATAAAAAATAGTAGATATATACATAAATATATATAATTACGTAAATAATTGTAAACAAAAATATTGAGATTCCGAGAAAAGTACGCGTGCGTGTACCTAA